CTTTTAGGCTATGGGTACTAGTCCCCCTTGCCTCTTTCTCCTCCTCCTCCTGCCTGCCCTGCCACCCTCTGGTTCCTGCTGGGGTACCATGCAGCTTCCCTTGCCACCCTGCCCTGAGCTTTTATCACTGGGCTTATTGGTTAAACGATTAATTGTTTAACCTTTCACATCCCTGACATGAACCCTTTCTCTTAGAAGAACTCTCATAATTCATATGAGGAAAGAAGGTATCAAAGGCCTGGCAACTTCTAACTGTTTGAAATGTCTTTCACCCTTTTAATAATTGTCAACTTTTAGGTCTAATTTCTGTACATAGCAGAAGCCAGTCTTTTTAAGGCATAGAGGTCAGGTTGGTATACTGAGGTTTGTGCCCTGAAGATAAAAGCCACTACTTTTTCATAAGGAAGCTAAAGCAGAGTAGGAAATTAAGTTTCCAGATGATTTGCCTCAGTTAGATCATGCTGTGCCCTTTCATGAGATGTCAGGTTTCCTGTGAGACTTTCCTGGTTCATTTTGTCCATCAAACAGTAGGCGCTCTCGTGGAGATGGTGGTGTTGCACTTTTTAGAGGGGAAAGAAAGTGATAAAACTACTGGCAGTAATCTGCTCATATTCTTGTTTTCTCCTAACATGTAATTGGAGCAAGGGAGAGAAGTGTGATGAATGGACTGTCACAAGTCTGCTGCTATTTGAGGACAAGGGTCTTCCTTGCTTCAGTGAGATTCTTCTGCTGTGTTCTGCTAGAAAAAGTTGAGCCCAATCCTATCTCCATGTGATGCTAGCTCTATGGCTACTCAGCCCTTGGGGGAACTCTCCTGTGATTGGCATTGTCTAGCTGCAAATGTCTAGCTTGACCCAGGCTGAAGAGATTCATATCAAGGCTTCATAGATCCTCTTTAACACAAGCAGTGTTTTCAAAGTGTAGCTCAGTTCTTTTAGAAGAAAACAAGCTGCCTCTCAAATGCACTGAGCAGCAGGTGGCATGAGCTGGAGCTCTTATTTTTGCTTGATTAGGGTCATTGAATTTTTGTGTCCATGGAAACATGAACAGCAGTCCATTTCTGGAAAAAAGACTGCTGCTAACTTGTAACTGCTCTGTAATTTAGTAAGACTGAAGTGGGGGAGATTTGAGGCAGTATGGGACCACACATATTTTGAGCTTCCTTTCCCTTGGCTTATCTTAGCTTTGAGCCTTGTTTATCAGCAGGAGTAACTTATGTTAGTGGAAGTGGACTCTTATATGACTTAGTGAGCAGACTTCGAACTTCTTTGACTTCCTATTTGTTTGGTGGCTAATGGCATCAGACCCAGATGTCTAATAGGTTTCCTGATGCTCTCCTGACTGATGGTGAACTTTTAAATCTTATCTGCTTCATTGGCTTCCTCTGAATTCCCTGGTATTCTCCCCAGGGTTTTGCAAATAAGAAAGAAGTGCAGACCTCAAAGGGCTTTCAGTTTTTTGGGGGTGGGGGACTGGGGGTTGGAGTTCCTAATCTCTAGTTCTGTTGCAATGTTACTGCTAGCTCCTTGCCCCTGTGGGACTACCTCTGATGAACAGAGTGTTGTGTGTAGAGGCTGGCTTGTTGAAGGATAGGCAGACTCTCTTGCAGAAGTAATGGGCTGGAGATCAGAAAGGAGGATGAGACTGCTGTACAGGTGTGAGAGCTCAGAGCTGTCCCTTTTACTATGTGCATGGAAGCATGAGTGGTGCTCTAGTGAAATGGCAGTCAGGGTCTGGTATTACAAGTTTGTTCCATGTTCTGAGCAACTGAATGAATTAGCTGCTTTCTGTTCCTTTTCCTAGCCTCTTTTGATACTGCAGTCCAATTGATGCCACTGTACTGCAATGATGGGGGCCACTCTTGGATAACTGGAGCAGAGGGAGCTGTGTTGGAAGCCTGTACTTTACAAATACTTTGTGTTTCCCAGGGGGACCTAATGTGTCACAGCACAAAACTGCCAATGCACATTTTTTTCTGTTTGTCAAGAGAAGTGGTTTCTCAGTTTTAACACTGACCTTGTCATCACTGCAAAGAAACACTCTGTGGGATTGCCTCCCCAGGGTCTGGCTGCTAGAACTTGCACCTTTGGAAGGTAAAGGGTGCAGATCATATTACTTTTGTCTGACCTTTCTTACCCCTCTTAAAACTTGCTGCTGCTCACTGGAACTGCTAAAATGGCAAAGTGTTTTCCTAGCAACTGCCAGCCTTCCTTTAACTCTTTGGTGACTGCCAGCAAATATATTTGAGAGTGGAGAAGTGGGGTACCCAGAGGATGGACGTTTCTAGCACTAGTATGAATGAACTGGGAGCTGTGGACTATAATTTCCTTAGCCCTTTTCCAAGTTTAGGCCAGGGGTTGACTGCAGCTCTGGACACCCAGGTGTCTGGGGCTAAGGTGGAGTTGGTGGTAAGGTGCACCATTCTGTTTAGCCAGAGACGCACAAGATATTGATAAGTCAGCATCATACTTGGTATCCTTTGAGTCCCCAGCCCAAATGGCTAGATACCCTTTACAGCTGGGTCAGTTGGAGGTGGCCTGAAGCTTGAGTCTTTAGAGAGACTTCACTGTGCCTCTGGGTCTGTACCTTAATTGCTCTGCCACAATGTCCTCGGTATTTCTGGTGTATATCTGGTCCTAAAAACCTGAACGGGGTAGCAGCTGTATCCCTGTTAATGTGAGAGGCAATCTCAAACTGGATGATATTTTCAGATCTTGACTTTGGAGGATTTAAAAAGAAAAAACCCAGGTTGTTTGGCTGAGCATCTCATAACTTTTGGTGCTTGTGTATACAAAGTCTTAAGGGTTGCATTTCTCTGGAGTGGATTCTCCAGTGTTTGGGGGTGGGGGAGGAAGGGTGCTTCTGATTTTTCATAGTTTTAATGCCCCAAGAATCTTGTTTCTAAATCTTGCTCAGAGTTTACATTATTCTTATATTTGTCTAGGACCTCCAAATGAAGGATTTTTCTAGTATATGTGTGTGAAAAGGGTGGTGGGCTTTCCTCCTTTTTCATAGATCTTTAGTTGAGGATCTGGGAAAATATCTGACATTTCTGGGGGCAGTCATATTCTCCTAGGGTGGCAGCATGTAGACCACATGCAATGTGATATGTGAGATACCATGTCATTTAAACTACTATACTCAGACATCATACCCGTCTTAAGGCTTCCATTTCCCCTCTTCGCAATAGCACAAAGTTAATAAACCCTTTCATTTTTAAGGGATTTCTGCACTTTTTAAAACTGGAACATAAATTGTTTGTAAGCTCACTGCCTTCTGGGGTGAATGTGCTGTGCAGTCTCGTTTATCTCCTTCCAAAGCAGCTGTCCCCACGCTGGGGCAAAGACAGGTCCCCTCATTCCTGCAAATCATTGACTTGGAAAATACCTTCCTCAAATGAGAAGGAACCACACCAATGCTCTGCCAAATTTTGGGGGATAGAAAGAGCAGGACAAACGCCTATAAAATGGGTGTATAATCTTTGTGGGGAGGAAGCCAGGTGTACACCACAAGGCCTCCCAATACAAATTTTAAGGCTGTGAAAAATCAAGTGATAGCAATTGTTCTTTGTGCTTTGCTTTGATAGATTCATCTGATTTGGACACAATTGTACTGGACATTTTTTTTTTTCTTGAACTGACTTTCATGTTTTCTATTGTAATCTTGTGAATATTTTAATACACTTTTTTTCCCATTGTTTGTCTGTTGTAATCTGTTGCACAAATCAGAGCTGGTTATGGATCAGGATGGAGGAGGGAGACAAACACAAAAGTTGCCTTCTGTACAGGTTCAGACTCCAAAGGAAATGTTATCCACTTTTCTCCAACTGAGATTAGACCTGGTATCAGAACATACTGAATGGCTGGAGACACTATTGGGGGCGGGGTGTTAGGAGTACTGTGCACACATTAAAATGTAGGATTCCTTGTGAGGTTGGGAAGTAATCTCTTCATGGTCAAGATATAGGAACTGGTTAGTGGTGTATGCAGCAACTTGCTCAGCAAGTTGGTAGCAGACCTAGGAATAACAGAGGGGACTAGACTTCAGTCAACCAAGAGATAAACATGCTTAGCAGAGGGCTTTTCAGTATTTGTGGACAAAAAGTATTTACTATTTACTTGACTCAAAAAATGAGGTCCCCCCATTTAACATAAAGAGCTTTTTCTCCTGTCTTGGATTTGAATACAAGGTTGCAGGGGGAGAAGGGGGTGCTGTGGCTCTGATTTTGGTTGCCCCCCTTCCTATCCACTGCCTTCCCCACTACAGTGGGCCTGTCTCCCTGCTGCAGCAATGAGGGTGGGGTAGGGAAGGGATGACAAATTTTAAGACAATGCTCCAATAATTGTATACTTGGAAAATTATAACCAGTGTATACATTTTCCATGTCTACAGTCTAATTATTGGGGGATCATTGTAATTTAAGAGTTGTCTTAGATTCAGGTAAATATGGCAGATTAGTGATTCTCAAACCTAGGATGCCGTATGATCCTTTTAAAAGATACAGTGCTAAAATTAGTGTTAGAGGTACAGACTCCTGCACCATGATTTACAAGATACCCTGAGATTTCAAATAGAAATCCATAGCATCAAAACATTCTGACCTGTTGTGGTTTTTCTGAGTTCTTTGCCACCAAAGAATTGCTGTTACTTATCTGTAGTTAAAAACAAGTGAAACTAAGATGTGGCACTTTTTGAGAGGTGCCTTGAGTAAAAAAGTTGAGAACCCTGACCTAGATTAAACAGATCAGTGGTTAAATAGCTCTCCCT